GAGCAGGAGTTGAGAAGAGTTCATGTGCTCATGGCACTGAGATTCGGCGGTGTGGTGGCTTTGGGGTTGGGAGTTTGGGGTTTAGGGTTTAGGGTGTGGTGTCTTTGGGGTTTGGGGGTTTGGGGTCTCGATGGTGTATTTGGTGCAGCATGATGCAGCCATGCCCGGAAAATCGTGCATCGGAGCGTCCCACGCTTAATCCTTAGATACAAGTATCCACCCCGGTATACTTTCAAGCATAGTGTTAATTGTCAGATTGCGCTTTATCGGGTTCTCTGGGTACCCACAAGAAAACTGCCAGCCCAAGTCCAAGCAAGCGCAATTCGCGTGGTCATCAATGTGAAGGCCCGCGATGGAGCTGCCTTCTCTTCTGGTGGTATTGGTGAGTATGTGTGAGTATGTGTGTATGATTATATGTGTACTCACTATAGCTACTTATCCTCCTGTTCTTCTTCTCATTCCATTGTCTAGGATGCCCAGTAGTACCCTTATTCCCTTTTTGTAGTCCTAGGTTCCTTATAAAGTTACCCAATACCAAAAGGAGAGGCCTTTTTGTTCTTAGGTTACTGGGTATCCTAGTTGTTCTTGTTGCCGCCTACGTGCCTGTCCTGTCCTCTAGAACTCACAAAACCCAAGCCCTGAATCGCCCAAACCGCAGGGCCACCACCTGTAGTCTGGTTATAGCACCCCTGCATTAGCTAAATCCTGCACTACCCTTTATAAGGAATATACCATAGTTCCCATAGTTTAGAGTCCTTAGGGTCATGCAGGATTTTGTCCATCAGCAGTAGCACCCTACGTTATCTATCCTCTGAAGCACGGAAGGTTCCTCAGCGGCCTCGGACATCGGCGATGCCACGCCTACTCCCAGCTCCTCCAAGGGCAAGGGCAAAAGCAGCTTGGCCGCAAAGTTGGGAGTTGTGGGGTTTATGAGGGCTTTTGGGAGTTAGGATTAGGTGGACCCTTTGGGAAATAGACCCTCTCAATAAGGCCCCTTTTAAGAGACCCAGAAGTAGGGTTCAGAAGGGTTTCCCTGTAAGGGGTCTCCCTAATAATGCTACCTAGCTTTGCAGGATCTTGTAGAGTGAGGGTTTTGGGTGGGGCTTCAAGGGTTCTTGCAGGCTTTCAGCTTATTGGCTGTAAACTCAACTTTGCAACTGTTGGGGTTCTTCTAAGGTAGTCGGCTCTGAAAGTTTCAACTTTTATTTCCGTGGGTTTTGGGCCAGTAAGTCAATCCTTGGTAAGAAGAAACAGCCCGAGCAAGTCTTCAACGACCCCAAACCCTCAGCAATTCAAACTCTGAGCCCGAAAATATGGAAGCCTCAGTAATCACCAAACCCTAAACCCTCAATCCTAAACCCTGAACCCTTAACCCTGTATCCCTAAACCCGACACCCTTAACCCTATATCCCTAAACCCTAAGCCCTTAACCCTATATCCCTAAACCCCGAACCCTTACCCCCCCTAAGCCCCAGGCCCAAGTCCTCCTCACCATAACCCATAAAGGAGCCCTTTAGGTCTTAGTCTTTAGGGTTCAGGGTTTGGGGCTCCCTTCTCAGATTTTTACTACACCAACCACCCGAAAAAAGCCCTGTAGTTATGAAGGATCCCTTATAGAAGACTTTATAGACCCCTGTTAGGAAGCATATTTGAAAACTATAGTGGGCCTTTTTTCTAACAGCAGCCCTTATAGACCTCTTGAAAGGAAGCTTATTCTAAACCCTAAACCCTACTTATTAGAGGAAAAAGGCGCTTAAACAAAAAAACCCTAATGATCAAGGCCCTTATTCTTGAAAGGAGCCTTATTCTAAACCCTAAACCCTAATGATCAAGGCCCTTATATACTAGTAGTAGCCCTTATAGACTTCTTGAAAGGAACCTTAGTCTAAGCCCTAAACCCTAGACCCTAAACCCTAAACTCTAAACCCTAAACCCTAATGATCAAGGCCCTTATATACTACGCTCCACAGGCAAGGGCCCACCGCCTGCTCCTGTGAGCCGTGCGGCAGGCAGCCGGTGGGTCTCTGTTTTGCTGGATACGGTTGATGATATAAATCCTGGGGTTCCTTTAAAGGAATCCATAAGGGTACCTTTAAGGTTCCTTTAAGGGATCTATAGGGTACCCATAACAAGAAATATACCATAATTCCCATAGTCTAGGGTCCTTAAGATAATGCAGGATTTATATCATCAACCGCAACACAGGGCGTTTAGGGCCTGGGGTTTGGGGTATACGCTTTGGGGGTTTAACAATAATTGCCAATGCTACTTTGGGGTTCCTTAGTATACTTTGTAGTACAGCATGTACCCAAAAACCCTATACTAACTTGTTAAAACCTCTATTTTAGAGTTTGGGCTTGAGAGCTTTGGGTTTGATAGTGTTTGGGGTCTAAGGCTTAGGCTGGGCTTCGGGTTCAGTGTTTAGGAATTGGGGTTGAGGCCGTCATGCGCAATATTGAGGCTATTTTGAATAGAACAAGGTTTTGGTGCACATCATGATCGCATGTTGGGTTTACTCATGTTTCATAAACCCTAAACCATTAACCCTGAATCCATAAATCCAACAACCATAAACCAAAAACCAGAAACCCTGAAACCGAGTCTTTGGGTAGGAAGGCCTACAGGGGCCCCAGGATGGGTTGGCGGACCACGGAAGATCATGTCACGCAGCCATCCGCATGTCCACAGAATAACTGCGAAGCCCTCAGTAGCCTAACACAAGCATGAGAAGCTTCAGCAGAAACTTGGACATGCAGATTTCATACCACAGGGTTCGGGTTCAGCCAGTGAAGGTGCAATGCTTCGGGAAGAGGCTCCTTGAGTTGACAAGCGAGCACGTTAAAAAGCCGTGCATACATATACCGGTTTGCAAATTAGTCCTCCCGGTTTGTGTGCTTATATAGAGCAACATGGTGATTGCTGCGAGTAGGACAGTAGGAACCATGTGGTTCAGGGGGATTTGTTCAGTCATCCTTAACACTCCCTCAGCCCCCGTGCCCCTAAAACCAGCCCATATTATGGGATCCTTCTAGTTTTCTAGTTCCCTTATAGAAGCCCCTAAACCTTGAACCCTAAACCCTAAACCCCAAACCCTGAACCCTAAACCCCAAACCCTGAACCCTAAACCCTGAACCCTGAACCCCAAGTATGCCAAGAGCTCACAAGGCGCTGAGGCTGGTGAGAAGGGCAAGGGCAAAGGCAAGGGGAAGGCTGGGCATTGGGCCTTGACGGAGTTCCGGGTTCCTTCTAAGTTTAGGGTTTTAGGGTTTTGGGTGTTGGGCTTTGGGGTTGAGGGTTTAGGGTTTTAGGGTTTTGGGGTTTACCTGGGGCCGGCCTTTCCTGCCTTAATAGGTCCCCTCGGGATTCGTGAACCGAACTCGGGTCACATTTCCGAACAAGGGTCAAAGCCAAAAACACTGGTTTGGGGTTTTGGGGAAGTTTATGATAATCGACGTGCATGAGGCTATCCACTCCTTAACACGTTGCTTTTTGCCTTGTTGAAGGAAGCTTGTGACAGACAGTTACCTGAAATATCCCTATAGTCTAGCAAAGCCACCCCTCCCAATTGAATCCAAGCCTAATCGCTCCATCATTTCCTCTCCATCGGTCATCGTCGGCTACCACGTCGAGAACGTGTGGATGGCAAGTGCTGGGCTCTCAGCGGGTTAGACTCAGGTACCTGTATTCAGGCCATATAAACGATTTACACATAAGCGTTTGTATTTGTGGTTCTCCTTATGTCTGTATAGGTAGGTGCGCATGAGCATTTAGTGACGTAAATGTAGACTCAAATTAGTTAGTAACACAGGTGCATATATATATATATATATATATATATATGGGCCGGAATACATGCGGTTGTAGAAAGATGTGTGCAAGCATAGACTCAGATATGTTACATATGTGCCATATAATATTATTTAATTTGCGAGTATTTTGCCAGAGGCATACATGAGGGCGACGTGCGGCTAAGGAGGTGCATACTACATGCAAGACTAATAGTTGTGCGCATAATATAATATATATATATATATGTAGGGTATGTATGTGTGTCTAGACATGTATGTAATGAAGCATGTATGTGTGTATGTATGTGTGTATGTAACCATGAACGTATGAATGAATGAGTGCATGTATGTATGTATCTGTGTGCGTAGGCATGTACGTATGAATGCATGCATGTGTACATGTGCACTGTATGTGTAGCATGTGAGAGTATAAGCCACATATGGCACCCAGAACTTTTTGCCACAGACACATGCACATGTAGGAATATGTTTCCGGTCATGGTTGTGCAGCGCATTAATTGAGCCACAAACACAGGGATACTTTGTCACAGTCCTGTACATCAGAAAACAAATGAGCCTACACAGTGGAAGGAAACCTACTGACACATGCCCTGCGTATGAACAATGGGTAATGAAAGCTTTCGCTGCTTCGGAGCTCTACATGTAGCTGTGGGTGGGCTGTTGCAGGAACCTAGCTCCTGTTGTGAATGATGATATTGAAAGGAGCAGAGGCTTGAATACTCTAGGACGGCTCATGATGCTGACCCAGCACTTCACACATCTTCCGTAGCTGCCTGATGGCATGCCAACAAGCTACGCTGAATGACACGCAAGTGGATTTTGCGCACACTCACTCTTCTCGATAATCGACATGGTCTGCCTATGAAATCCTCCTGTTGTTGGTTTGCAGCAGCAAGAGGATTGATAATCCATGGGCCCTTCTTTGCTTGTTCGATCATCTCCTCAACGGTGTGTGCGAGCATGTGCGCTTTCGGAACCATTGGGAACCGGCTCATGCCCCTGAGCACAGCTTCATAAGCACATGCCTGGTAAGCCAGCATGAAAGACTCAAGCATGTGGCCGAGCTTTTCCCCGCGAGGTGCAGGGATCCAAAAACCCTCACCATAGAGCACAGATATGTACTGGTTCATCACAACGGTGCCCTTGGCCTTTGTTGCGCAGAGAACTCTGGGGTGCATCAAAAAGTAAACTTTAAGTTGTTCTAGATTGTTTCTTTCGAGTACAAAACCGAGGTGCTTTTCGAACCCAAAATAACATGATGTGCATAATTGCAGTTTGAGATGCGATACCTGCAAGGATTTTATCCTCGGTTCCCGGGGCAACGAGCCGCTCACACAAGTCCTGCAAGTAGAGCATGGTCTGGGTGGTCACCTCTGCCTTGCTCCACAAACCCTGCGGATAGGAATCGAAAGAATCCATGCTGAGGTTGTCCCGTGTAAACTCTTTGAGAAACGGCGTGATCTTCACTCGCTGGCAATAGCGCACAAAATCCCTTGACAACCACTCAAGCTTGGACTCGATCGATCTTGCTGGGATAAAGTCGTTGGAAAAAACGAACATTGAAAGGCCATTCGCCACCCAGTATTTTCCGACTCCATTGTGGAAATTATGCCAAAAGTCTGTGACAAAAAAAGCCTCAGGCTTGTCTGGCAAGCCAGGAATCGCCGCCAAGACTGGCGGCTCCACGTCCCAAGGCCGCTCAGCAAATGCTGTTGCTTTCCAAGCGGCCGCAGGCCTGAAATCTTCAAAAGGAATGTGGACAGGCAGCTCCTGTCCGCCTTTGCACAACCAACAGATGCCTGGGCAGGCCGTCTTCGATGTCGGTTTTTTTGGCACCCTGCTGTAATTTCTGACAAAATTCCCAATCTTTCCCAGTGCCGGGAGGTCGCCCTTGATCCCCAGAATTTGGACCCACAGTCTTTTCTGTCCGTTCTCACTCGTAACACCGTGCGTAGCCAGTTCGGTCATGTCCTGCCCAAAAGCAGACATGAGCTTGTCAAGACATGAAACATCCTCGTTGATGTAGCTGCGCAAAAGGCTGCCAAAAGCAAAATGTGTGCTCCAAGTTGAACCCACATAGTTCATCCCCATTGGGTCGCGCTTGATGTGAGGCTTGCGCACAAGCCTCTTGTTGTAGCTACGTGTGCCTTTTCCCAGACAACCGTGAACGGAGAGGATTAAGAGCGCTTTGCTCTTATAGGTCCTGCCTTCATCCACATGAGCGAAAACCGGCACTGTTCTCTTCAGCTCCAGAGCCCCATTCTCCGCCAAAACGAAGATTTGATGCTCCGGTTCAAGCTGTCTGTAGCGAAGCCAAAACTCTTCCAGCCTTGATTCCATTTCCTGCTCGGGAACACCCACCAGCTGCTCAAGTTTTCCAGCATCCAAAAGGTACTTCACCCAGGATGAAATCTTGACCACAGGCAGATTCTTGAGCTCCCCGGCGTTTCCAGCAGCAATGGTGTCTATTTTGACAGGGACAGTCAATCCGTACTTCTTAAAGAGTTTATGACAGGCTTCTTCTGCATCCTTTTCACGGATCCCCGCAAACTCTTTCAAAGCAGGCGGTAAAGAACCAACCTCGTTCCCTGAGTCCTCAACAGCGGCCTTGGCCACCTCGACTGCGTGGCTGCAAGGGGCCTCGGCAAGCCCAACAAGTGTTGGTTTAAGGTTATATAGGTCAAGACATGTGAGCAACACTTGCGACACATGGCAGAAAGCACTGAGCACCAATTTTGCTGCCAACGATGAACCCCCGTTCTTGCAACAGAAGACCAGAGCTGTTTTACAAACAGCAGTTCTGAATTTTTGAAGCTAACAAGAAAACAGCCCTACCTTACCCCACTCTGCAGTTTTGATCAGCTCGACCACCAGTTACATATGCATAGTAGGGAGGCACAGAAGATGCCCTGTTCAAGGCACCTTCACCTCCACTTCCTGAGGTGTTTTGACACCCGGAGCAAGAGTGAAAAAGGCTTACGAGAGCAGCTTCCAACATGTGAACCTCTTTCACACTGGAACCGCAAAAGATAACCCACATGGCCGTAAAGTTCTTTTTTCTGTAATCTACATAACGTACAACTGGATTCGAAGTCACCCCTACTTTGAACACACAAAGACTGATGCTCATGTGCTCTCGGAAAGATGTAACTCGCTGCGCACAATAGGACAGAATTCGTCCACTGGAAGGCGGGCTGGGTCGCAATGGCATGAGGTGATTGTGCAAGCCAAACTGTCGAACCTCTTGCCAAGGAATCGAAACTGGATCAGCAACAGCAGCGATTTTCTCCAGGGCTGCAGTTGAAGCACAGGATGTAACCTGTGATTCCCAGTGCGAAGAAAGCTTTGACGTGTAGCAGTGTAGAGACAGCACTCTAGTCACAGCGACAGATGTATGCATGTTTGTCTTTTGGGTTTTGCAGAAGCTTCTGGTGCCCACGGTATGAAAACAGCAACAGAAACCTGCAGCTGCCCAGTTGCTGGAACACCATCTTCGGCTTCGCAGACTTGCCTTGGAATTGTCGGGGCCACGGGCACCAGGTGATTCCAGGACTCAGTGCGCATTGTCCTGGGATGGACAACGTTGGCACTTTCTGGATTTCAGGTTGCTTTGTTCTATGACTGTTCTACAAATACAGGCAAAGGGAAGGTGCAGATAACAATGGCTTGCGAGAGTCTTGCACAATTGCAGAGCTTCATGATTTTCACCGGTCTCAGCTAGCGAGGATTGGGCAGCACACCGCTTCCTACCATTAGGGGCTTCGTATGTGATCAAATCCAGGAAGTCTTCCAGTGTGTGGCCGCGAGAATAGGCCATTGCTTGACAGTCACAGGGTAACCTACATTCGTTGCAGCTCTAGTACAAGATCCCGTGTCAGGTTTCCAAACTATATACAGTTAATGGGGCTGCTCGAATTTCGCATGACCACAGCTGCCAGCTGGGAATGTAGCAGGAGCTGTGAAAGATGTGACAATGTGCTAACTTTGTATGTAAGCCTGAACAGATACGGCTGCGCTGAGTTGCTTCTGATCATCGTGCGCACAGCAGCCGAAAACAATGAAACCGTGCCCTCTTCCTGAGGCTGAAGCTCCTCGAGCCACTTGCTTCGCGAGCTTCCGAACCACAGCACCTGGTTCCCAACCTGGCATGCAGCTCTTTAACTCGGTTTTTGTGATCCAGTCGATTCGGGCCTCCTAGGACAAAGTAGGTTTTGGGAAAGAACAGGGATATGGGATTTAAAAGGTGTTCGAGGAAGTGATCGGTCAGGTCATTCATTAGTGATGTTGGGTTGACTGAGGGCTTTAATTGGCTCTGCATTCAGATTACAGACTCCAAGAGAGACTCGCTCAACCAGACTTTTCCTGCCGTCGCGACAAGCATTGCTTCCGATTGAATCAGAAGCAGACAACTAAACCCCGGAACTTGCGAGCAGCTGCACTGCTGCTCAGGGGCCATATAGAAGCAGACTGCCACCCAGAGAACAGGTCGAGGCTAGGCTACTTGAGATACTCCCGCAGGTTCAATTAGACCAATATAAGTAAGTAATCTATGAGGTTTCTCAGGGTCTGAAGGATTGTGGAGGCCACCCTAGAAGTACAGTCCTTAATGCTGCTAGTTTCTAGTAGCCACGACGGTTGGAGGCAGCAGCCTACATTACATATGTGCCCGGAGGACCCTAGTAGCACCAACTGGCGGACCAGCTCGTGTTCTGAGCCAACCTTTGCATGAGATCAGCTCCCCGCAACCTCTGCATGCTGGCACTCCCCGGAGAAGAGGCTCAGCCATGGATCGATTTGAGAGATCTCACCAGGGTCCTTGGGAGGCAAATCTAGACATCTTAAAGAAAAGGGTTTTCGGGGATTTTTTGGGGGCCGTACGATAGAGCTTGTTGCAACTGGGTTTCTTCCCCGTGGACTCTGCTGTCGTGACCTTTGTACACCTTGGCGACCCAGGGTGCATGCCTAATCTTGGTACAGAAGGCACTTAACATGTTGTTGGGCAGACAATGTAACTTTCAAAAGGTATTCTGCAATCGAGAAACACCGTGGTAGACAGCTGGGTCTGCTTGGCAATCCTAGCTTGGAACCTAGGCTGCGCAAGCTGCGTGCATATGGACAAGGACAATCGCGAGGCCATGCACATGTGCATGTCTTTGGCATCAATTCTCAATTTGCAAATCATGTGGCTCCTTCTGAGAAGGCTCGCTAATATCGCAAGCGGGAATCTCGGCCCTGAGGGACTCCACCTTTTCGTACTCAGAGTGAAGGATCTCTATGGCATTTTCGAGGGCAGCGTGGCACCTTGGAAGCTGTGACAATATATTGCCACACGACAGTACACAGGACACAAACACAAATATGAACACGTGTGCGAATGGTCTTACCTGTTAACTGCATGGGAAGGGCTTGTCGATCTTCTTCTTCTCGTTCTCATCGGCTGTTGCTTTGTAGGCATCGATGTTACTCTGCAGCTCGGTCACTTTCGAGGCCCGCACAAGAAAGGACTCCCCGAACTTCTTGAAGGTTTTCTCCTCCTAGTGGGCTGGACACAAACAAGTGTACACGATGGCCGGGACATGCGATTTAAATTCAGGCAGCTAATGTGGCTATTGAAACCCCGCGGGATCCTGCTTGAAGGCTGTAATCTCCACGGCACCTTTACCCTTTCCCTTGCCTTTGCCAGGATTCTCGGCCTGGTCGGGATCCTCGTCGCTTTCGATCCGCTCGACACCCAGCCGGTTGAACTTGAGGTTTGTTGCCCCCTGGGCCAGTGCGTGGTGCAGGTTTACAGTTTTGACACAAGCAAGAAACAGCAAGGGTTCAATCAGCAGGCTCAGCATAGCAGTCAGCTTCGACGTGTGCATGAGCCAAGCTGCGCTTCCTGAAGTCTTCTCCTGCTCCTTCTCCTCCTCGTGGTCGTAATCCTCGGACTCATCATCCACATCCACCTTGTACTTCATGATCTTGCTGTTGTACTTGTCTTTCCTGACGGGATATGTCTGTGGAAGGTCGTCGCTCCCTAGCAGCATACGCTCTCTAATTATTCCGCAGAAATTGAGAATGCAGCAGTGTAACTTTGCGCACACACAGACACATGAGCATACTGAACTTCCGCACACTGAAGCAGTCAAGAAAGTGCTCTCGCTCGAGTCACACGTCGAATGTGTACATGTATATGTGTACATAATCATGTATTCTTGGGAGTGTAATCAGTTGAGGCCGAGGGCTTCCACAGCTTCTTGTCCTTTTCGCAAAAGGCAACCACCCCAGCAATGTAGGTCCTGAAGATGCAGATTGGCAATCGAGAGCACAAATACAGTTGAAGCTGTGATGCGGTTCGTTAAGGCAAGACTCTTGGACCAACCCAGTTTCTTGGCCATGCTCTCTCTGGTGTGCCATGCTCGGCGTCTGCGGTGGCTCTGTCTCGACAAAGTTTCTTTGCTTCTCGTGACGACGGACTTGAACTGCTTCTGGCACAGGGAATGTGTGTCTAAAGCACAAACGAATACAATGAGGCGAGGAACTAAGTATGGTGATGCAACACAGCACAACACAGCAATGATTGGGTTTGCACAGCCACAATACCGAAATCTGCCTTGTCGAAGTCAACGCTTTTCAACAGGTTGAACAATTCCTTCCTTTCGGTGCCGCCCCGCATCCACTGCTGATGCACCTCCACGGGCACATTAAGCTTCCCGCTCGGTTTCATCTCACAAAGCCGGCGAAGAACGGCGTCCTTTGCAGCCTGAGTGGAAGGTTTGGAAGAATCGTTCAAGGTGCACAGTGAGGGAAATTATGGGGCAGCAAAGAAGCGCACGATCGATTGTTTCATAATGGCAATTACATACTGCTTACAGGGCGGTGCCTGGGTAGCATAGGAAAGTTCATCCGACTCCTCGTCGTCCACGTCCGCAGCTGCTTTAACTGCGGCTGTTTTGCTCTTGGCTGAACCCCTCGAGGAGGATGGGGCTTCGCTTTGGCTTCTAGATTGGCTGGGGATGGTTTCGCTCCTCTAGCCTTGACTGCTGTGCACCGGCCAGCTTGGGAAAGCTCTTCCTCCGTAGCCTGCCACCAGATTGTGCTCTGGACATGCTTCGATAGCACAAGGAACAAAAGCCCAGTTGACTAGTGTCGAAACACAATCTTACTTGACTATTCTGGACTCTTAATTAGTTGACTGGCATCCAGGTCACCGGCTGCGTCGCTGTCTCCGAGGCATCCGCTTCCTGTGTTGATGTTGCTGGTATGAAGATCGGGACAATGCAGGGGCACGTCCAGCCTATGAAGCTACTCACGACACGGTCCTGCTTAGAGAAATTACCAGACCGCTTTCTCTCCAGCATTGCGAGCTGCCTTTTGACATCCTGCGAGATACACAGCCACATAAACTGGACTCGACAAGTTTATTTCAAGTAACATGGTTTGAGATCTTGCTTTATCAAAACCATGACCGAGCCCTATAGAAGCACAGTCCTCAATCTCAGCATCCAGAGTTTCATCCCTGGAACCTTCTTCAATGGGTTCCTTCTTCACTCCCCGCAGCAAAGCAGTATTGGCCGTTGCCAAAGACTGGCAGCTCCACTGTCGTTCGGTCAAAGTAGGCTTCTTACCCATTGCCCTATGCAAGCGATCGCGCTAAGCGACCGACCTCTCGAAACAGGATCTCTGGCTGATCTGCCGCACAGACGGAGCAGAGATGAGGACCGAGACTGCTGTCATGTGCGATTGCTGCAGTGCAAACCCTGTGTTCTGAGACAAACTCGATCATACTTGACACTGGTTCCTATAGGTATCTACGTTGCCGAATACAAGAGTCATTGATGATGATGCATATCTACGTTGCCGAATACAAAAGTCATTGATGATGATGAAGATTAGCACATGTTTGGCCATAGCTGAAAACCCCTAGAATTACGGAATCCCTACGTAATTCCTTACGCCCTTTTACGGTTGTTCTACGCAAATTTACGGCCGTTCTACGGGTACGGGTTGGGTGGGCTCCAGGTTACGTAGGCACTACGTAGTTTCTACATACCCTGG